GCTCTCAAGGTGGTTTCGGCTGCCTATACCAGGATTGCTTTCCCTTTACTGAGAGGGACACGGTCAAAGTAGCCCCATTGTCTCATTCTTCACCGCGCCCGGGTCCCCCGATTTGAAAACGGCCCGTTCAGTGTCACCGCAGCTTGAGCGCAGGTAGTCGCTTGCGCTCCCCGCTGGAAAGCGCTAGTTTCTTATGGTATTAGGCAAGCAGTTCGAGCTGACGCAAAATTGTTCTCTATAATGACGCTAGCATTAAGTACATGATGAGCTAGAGAATTTGCAATTCAATTGCGGGATAACCAGACATAAAGCTAAAATCAGGATTAGGAGAAGTCGCAAACAAAGCGTTTGCTGTCAGGGGTCCTTCAACTAGGGTCGCTTGTTTTACTTATATAATCACACTGATTGGAGCATTCATTGCTCAGAAATGAGCGCAATTTTTCTTTCAAACTACTGGAAATTGAAACAAGGCAAACGTTCAGATGACAATGCACTCCAAAAGAAGAAAGAGTACATCTGACTCCTTTCAGACAGTCCTGACTTTGTATAATTAACAGGCACGTCAACTCTCCTGTGGGTTGCACCTTTCTCAGAAGAGAGTACAATGTCACTCAAAAAAAAAAAAGATTGTGTGTCTCTGAAGAGAGCCGTATAATACGTGGCAAGTCAAGACTGTAAAAACAAAAGAAAAGTGTTACAGGACTCTTTTTCTTAGAGTGAACATGCTTGAAGGGACAAAAAAAATTGTCGAGGATGAGGTGTCGCTGGCGCCACCGTTTCCAAAAACGGCCTCGCCTTGACAAGATCGCTAGTGGAAATGCCAGCTCCTGAGACGACCCCTGTTCAGGGGCTTTAAATCTTCCCTTAAACGTATAAGCGATGACATCGTGAAGTCTTCCAGAAGACTTTTCCGGTAGGAATGTCTTTAACTGCACCTCTGTCTAAGAAGCAGCATTTATTTAGATTCGGGCCTAGTTTGAACGTGACCGCAGTGGCTGGCAATAGCAACCAGCTGCAGCCGACGTTCGGTCACGGAGCTTCATTGCAGCGCGTATAATACATAAGCTCTGGTACGTCGAATGATTATTCTTAAACTCTTTTTTTCGTGCGGTAGACACTTGGTAAGCGCTGTAATGACTTCATCTCATGTTTGAGTGGCGTCTAAACACCAGCTTCAATGTAATGATATATCTTGGGCATTCCCTCAGGCACTGGTCTCACGAGTCGAGTGAGCCCTGTGGGTTTGGTCTTGATGCGAAAGGGGTGAACCTGAATTGCTACAACCCGGAAGACGACTGGAATGTAGTGAAAGCCTTCGACTGCTCATGCATTGACATCTGCCAATTGCCATTCGGGGAAATAAAATTTTGAAAAATATAATACCGTCTCTTTGTCCCAGAGTCCCAAACACCATATCTATGCGTGGTACGGGGTCGCTGTCTGTAACCACACCCTCGTACTACGAACGGTCACCAACTAGCTCGCTGAACGTGTTGTCGCCCTGCGAAATAGACATATGTACTAGCAGGACACCATAGACAACTGGACTAAGAATGTACAGCACGCAACACTGTGTCTTGTGTGGTACCAGTCCAGTTGTCTCCGCGTGTTTTCAACACTACTTTCAGGAATAACTAGCCCCCCCCCCCCCGCACTAAGAAATCCTGTGAAATAAATAAGACTGCGATAATCAAAATGCCCAGTTCCTTGTTCACATGTGCAAACTCCCACCCTCCTTAACTTCGTGTGGGCAAAATAATATTAACTGGATACATTGTTGTGTGCACCAGCTCGCTCGTTCTGTCTCTAGCCAAACAGCTTTGCTAACGATGCTTGCAATCGCGGTTTTTCCAAGAGCAACACGTATATGGGCAGGAGGTCTGCTTAGAGGCAACATGAACGAGCAAGTATAAAACGCATCCGCAGCCAAAGTTGCACAGCAGTGAAGAAGATTCCTCTCCTCTCGGCAAACCGACCACTGCCACCACTCGAACGGGCCATACGCGTATACACCACAGTCGCCGCCGTTAAGCGAGCAGCAGCTATATATACGTGATGCTGTGGCAATGTGCAGCCACACCTCGGTCACTATAGCAACCGCAGCGGCGGAAGTAAGGGAGACGTAACCGAAAGCAATCGAGGTGGCGCTGCCTGGCAGCGGCGTCTGACGTAACTAGCACGGAGGCCACCGCCGAAATATGAGCTTTGCCAAATTATGACGGCGCCTCCGTTTTCCTCCCTGACTTCTCTCTATACGTCTCATATAGCGCCATCACAGGCCTGCGCGCCCCGCCCCTTTCTGCTCCTCCAGAATGGCGCGCACTTCAGGAACCAGAGTTGCCAACCTCCTTTTCGTTGCCCCCCTTTTCCCGGTGCGCGAGTGCACCTTCTGTTCCCTTACGCGCCATAACGGCCCGGTTCACAACGATGCGCTGTTGCAAGTATCGCCTCTTTTTCTCAGCCGCAACCCACTTTTCCGTATCATGCGCGGGATGCGTCG